CCATAGCACAGGGCTTCTTTCTAATTAACCCCATAAGTTCTAGTGACTATGTGAGTGCAGGAACAAATAAGTAAAGAGATAGGTCAGAATGGGCCAAATGCGTTGGGTGGTCTAGCCCTAGGTCGACCAACCCACACACGGCCACCATTCATGCAAGGTAACCCACTCAAAATTCATCAGACACGTTGGACTAATGGCGATTCACACCAAGAGTTGAAATGAAGCCAACGGGAAACACATGGACTCATTGGCCCATCCAATAGAACAAAAGGACTTCAACTATGTCCGACTCGCTTACCACACATCAAATGGACCACAAATCAACTCACCAACAGAAGATGGGTGGCAGACCTGGCAGGGAAAGGTCGAGCAACCCCAATGAGGTCAGGCGACCCCCTATTACACCAAACCTCCAAGACTCACCTCGGATACCTACCAACTGGTATTAGAAGTGACTTCGAGCCATAGATGCACCATGGCAATGCATCCAAGGGTCGACTAACATAAGTGGAGGTCGCCTGACCCCACTTGTTAGTTCCATCAACTCCAACTGGCCTATAGATACCAGTGTTGCACCACTCTTGAGGCATAGAAGCAAGGTGAAAGACTTGGAGTATATGGCGAAGCCATACCACTTTAGTCTTAGAAAATAGAGAAGGAGATATGGTTGTGAGTTTCCTCTTCTACTTGTACCTCGGTAGATGCATCTCAGGTTCGAGTGACATCCAGGATTATTTGTGCTAACTTTGATCATTTTGATTGATTAAGTTTAGCTCATACCGCTGTTGATGATGGGTTCACCACTCTTTATAGAGTGCTCTAATCAACCATCAAGTAGTAAATATCTAGCATAGATGTGGTATCTAGGCTATAGTTTACTTGAGGATACGTATGTCTCATGATTGTGTGGTAGCCACAGGTTGTGACAGTGACAACCTTGTCTGATCTACATAATCCACCATGTTTGGGCTGGTTTTTAAAACATAGGGCTCTTTGCGACATAGCTCAGCACCCTTCTCATCCCTTTTTGTTGTTGTATTTGGACCGTGCCCCAAAGTGAATAACCATATGTGAACTTATCTTAATTTCTTGAAAGTATCAACTTTAGATATCCTCTCTACCCCTTCATATTATTTATCCTTGTTTTTATCATAGGATTCCCTTGATTCTTAGCTAATTCACTTCATGTTTCCCATAAAAATTGATACCTTGAAATGCTCCCGGGTGATTGCTACATTACACATTCGTACGTTTGAGGATTTACCTGTCTGCCACATAAAATGTCAACTTATGCCAACCCAAAGACCAAGGTGGGCTTGGAATTCGTAACTTAAACATCAATAACATAGCTCTTCCCTGTAAGTAGCTTTTCAAACTGACATAGATGGGACTTGGCAACAAATGCTATACAACAAATATCTAAGATCTAAGCCTTTCTCTCAAGTTCGACGGAACAAAGGGGATTCACATTTTTATGCTAGCCTTATGAAAGTCAAACATGATTTTATCTGTTTTTGGGACTTTATAATTAAAGATGGATCACAAGTCAGAATCTAGAAAGAAGGTGGTTGGGACAAACAATATCATTGCTGATCACAAGTCAGGTTCTAGAAAGAAGGTGGCTGGGACAAACAATATCCTTGCCTTTATAATATAGCCCATCCACCAAAAATAGAATATTGTAGCAGATGTGTTAAATATCTCACCACCCATTCTATCATGGCGAAAGGACGAAAGGACTTAATTGGGCATAAACTAGTGTGTTGGGACATCGCTGTTGGTGTTTTGGACCGGGGGGTCCTCAACCGACTAGTGAAAGTGTACTGCGTGTTCCTAATCCCGGATGGTGATGCAAAGAGACACAAGGTTTATACTGTTTCAGGTAATAGGTGCCCTACGTCCAGTCTGAGGGAGCGATCTTGTATTCCTTGCACCGAGGTGCTCGTAGTAGGGGCTTACAAGCTGGGCGAGAGAGGGAGCTAGCCCTAGGTCTCTGTGAATTGCAGTGTGGGTCGCTTGAGATGTTGATCTCTTGCTGTGAAGGAGTGTGCGTGTTACAGAGTGTTGTGCATGGCTTGCACCGGTCTCCTCCTCTTCTTGCCTAGAAGCGGCCCTGGTCACTCCCTTTTATAGTCGAAGGGAGGCACAGGGGCGGTACATGTATTTGCTACGTGGCGTTTTTTGTTTGGCAGAGGCGGCATGTCCGAGCCTTGCCGCTTGTCACTGTGGTGGTATGGTCGGTGGGGCGGTCTTGTCTTCGGTGCACTAGAGCGACGCGGCGATCACGCCCGATCCTGTGCGACGTGGGAGCTTCTGTGGTGGCCCGGTAGGCGCGCCTTCTTCTGTTGGAGACGTGCTGGTCATTGTAGGTTTGACCGGCGCGGAGAGCCGAGGCCGGGTTGATGCGATGGCACGGGTACACTGATTCCGAGGCTACAAGAGCTAGGCCCTGTGTACGACGTGGGAGCTCCTGCAGCCTGACGCAGGGCGTGGCGCGTACTGCGGGTGACGTGCCGGTCCCAGCGCATCGTCGACGTAGAGAGTCGAGGCCCAGTTGGTGCAGAGGCTGAATCATTGCGGGGGGCTCGGCGGGCGCAAGCCCCGAGGCTATAGGAACCCGGGAGCGGTTAGCCGAGGCTCGGAGAGAGCGGTTGGCCTTATACGTCGATTCCGAGGCTACAGGGACCCGGGCGTGACTTTCCACGCCGCGCTGTCCTCGGAGCAGGGGTTAGGTAGCACAGCGTAGCACGAGCGTCAGCTGTGGGCATAGTGCCGAGCACAGCGGCCGGTAACCCCCACCCCGTCCTGTCCTGGATGGCAGGGCGCTGATGTGACTTTCGTCTCGTCGGCCACTCTGTTGTACCGTGCCGTCATGCGGCTGACGTCGTGGGAGTAGTTGAACGCTTTAGTTGGATGTGACGTCTCGTCAGAGAAGTCAGTCAAGGCGGCGGTGATGGAGTTGATGCCGAGCCGGCCTCGAGCGAGTTGGTAACTAGGTGCTCGTCCGAGGCCTCGTGGCGCGGGGCCTCGGGCGAGTCGGAAAATTGATACCTCGTCCGAGGCCTTGCGGTGTGGGGCCTCGGGTGAGTCGGAGAATCGGTACCTCGTCCGAGGCCTTGCGGCGTGGGGCCTCGGTCGAGCCCGGATATTTGTTCGAGGTGGGCCGGGCGGTCCAGCCGGGCCTCGGATGTGGCGGGTTTGCCTGCGGTTGTATTTTGGTTTCGTTATTTATAAGGTCTAAGCAATTTTTTCGGTTCTTGCTTAGGGTACCTCTTTTTATGGTATCCGACAATCACTAATATTGTGTTAAGCCAAGAAGAAGATGATTATTTTGCAAGAAGTTACATCCTAATGTATAGTTCTAAGTTAAATCACAATATCCGGCTATAACCCACAACGATGTCCCTAGTATTAATAAACGCCTATGGAAAATAAAAAAGCTCCATTGAAAATCAAGGTTTTTATGTGGTATCTACATAGGAGGTAATGTTAACCAAAGACAAGTTAGCTAAATGTAGTTGACAAGGCAACAAATAGTGTTGTTTTTCTCACAAGGATAAAACAATTAAGCACATGTTCTTTGAGTGTCGTTTTTGCTCGTGTTGTCTAGTTTGTTATTCAAACGGCTTTAGACTTATCTCAACCACATAATGTTTCAAATATGTTTGGGACTTGGCTATAGGGTCTTAGTAATAAGCTTGGCTAAGAGCAGTAGCTATGTGTTGGTCACTATGGTTATGGTAATGGAGGAACGATGTGATCTTTGAAAACAAACATAATTCTTCTCCTTTGTAGGTTAGTTTCTCAACTATACATTGGTTTCATATATGGACAACATCATAGGATTTGATTGCAGTGGCATCTCAGCAATTGGTGTGGGTGACCAAGAAGTTTTGATCCAGGCATATGGATCAAAACATTTTAAAGCTATGTGTAGTCAGTCTACCGATCGAGTATTATTAGTGCTTCTGAATATTTTAAATCTTTTTTTAAGGCTATGTGTAGCCTAGTTATGCAGAGGTTGAGAGTGTTTTAGAATTAATTGAATTTCCCTTGATGAATAAAAGCTAGGGAGCCTTCTCTTGAGCACAGGATACTAGAGGCGCAATGGTATTTTTTTTAAAAGGTTCTTTTACCTTTCTGAATTATCGTCGTGGTCTTATTTTTCCCTTCGAACTTTGAAATCAGCCATCTTACTCTCATGACTCTCAAAACCATTTAAATTACCTTTGTACCATGATTTGAAGTGGTTTCGGTTTTAAAAATCTAATATGATTTTTAACCCATGAAAAATGTCTTCATGCTTCTATTTTTTTTAGAAAAAACCTTAGAGATAGATTGGATCATGGCAAAGCCAAATAAAATATTTAAAGCTCGTGAAAATATGTATAGAAGCTTCCAAATTTTAAACTTATCTCTATAAAAAATAGGAAAATACCCAAAACAATGAGAATTTTCCAAAACATTTGAATTGGTGTCCAAAAGTGTTTTAAGAACTTTCCACAACAAAATATGAGATGCAACATAAATTTAATGCACGCTGAATTTATTCATACCTGTCACATTCCATGCTCTTATTGTGAAAATCTTTTAAACGTGTTTAGACATGGATTACAATGTTTTGGGAGAAGCCTGCGTGCTACATCGAGAACTGGGATCGATCATGGGCACTTAACAGGCCCATCGATGCCTGTTCGGTCCAAAGACTAAAGAAATTTGAGACGCAAATAGGAAAATTCGTTTGGACGACTCAAAGCACTCTGTTCGACATGTAATTTTTTGTCTTTCTATTTTGCAATAATGGGATTCAAAATAAGAAAAGCTTACACTACACTTCACATGGCTAACAAACAGAGTACAGTACTGAACAGTACTACAGTATATTATCATCGATAGCATAAAACTACCCTTATATATAGCATGCCGTATTTTATTCATCAAATCAACACTGATGAGTGATTTGTCTTCGATCAACGGACTAATGCCGCTCTGTCACGTCTTCAGGCAATCTGGAAAAGTTACAGCAAGCTTGTTGGTACCGATTGGCAAATAAAATAAAAGAAGAAAACTCACCATACTTTCACTATCTATAGTATCTAACCTTAAGATGATTCTGGGCAAGATCAAGCAAAAACAGAGGATCGTTTTTAGTCTGCGTATAGTCTTCGATCTTGTTCATCTCCTCAATGAATTTCTCAAGGTTCGGCCTGCCTTTGGTGATGTCATAGTTCCTAAGATGAGAATAGTATATCTGAACCCTTTCCAAAATTGTAACATACGCTATATCCGCCTGAAAGGGAATCGAGCATTAGAAAGAGTAAAAAATTTGGGCAATCCAAATGAAAGGAGAAAAAGCAAACCACATTTCAGGTCGTAAAGGCAGTGAGTTACCAAGCTAAATTGGCCTAGGAAGAACGGGCCGTCGTTGAACTTTGTCATCTCAGCTTCGAGTTTATCCAGAGCAGCAACTGATGATGGAACATACAGTTTGAGCGATGCAGCATGTCAAGTTGTCAACGAATCCAAATTGCAATCCTTCCAGTCTAAGCAATGGCCTTACCAACTTCATCTGACACGGCTGCGTGGGCCATCAACGGCGAGTAGAGGGCCTTGGTGAACGCATTGGCATATGCGATCAGCTCGTCAGCAAACTGCCTCTTTGCAGAATCCTGCAGGAAACCAACACACACATCCTCATCCTCTGCTCTGAGACGATCAGAAATCGCTGCAACGTTGCAAGTGTTCCGCTGCACTGAAGGTGACACTTGACAGGTACCTCTGGGAGCAGCGCAGGGCCGTCGAAGTTGCTGTCGATGTACTTGATCAGGTCCAGGCTCTCGCCCCAGACCTCGTTGTCGTGCTCCAGGAAGGCACCTACCGAGAAACAGATGTTGTCTAAAGTGTTTCACGAAGAAGATGCTCGAGATGGTGGACATGTACTACAACTGTAGACCCAGCATACCGTGCCCTGTGGGTAAACCTTCTCCTTGTACCAAGCTGGTTTGTCCTGCAGATCAATGGCCACCAGCTCCATCTTGTCCTGCAAACCCTGGAGAGAGGAAGCAAACGAAACGAGGGTATTAGTTTTTGCAGTAATTTTTCACTTGTGAAGAGGCAGTAAAACTAAAAGTAGCAGAACCTTGAAGTTCCTGGTAACCCAGGCACGCTGAGCGAACGGGCAGAAGTAGCAAATGTAGAGCCTTCACGCCAGCAAAATATGAGTAAAAGTCAGTCACTGATTTACCGTCTGATCAGTGCAAAAGTTTTCTTTTCTTATTGGAAACAAAAAGAGAGGAAGTGTGGTATTGAATAGGAATATAGGATGGTGAGTTGCCTGGTGGTGCCATCGAAAACGGGAGGTGGCTGGGAGGTGGAGCCGAGGGCCGGCGGGAGCGTCTCCTTCACAGAGCTGCACACAGACACAGGCGTTCGGTTCCATTAGCTAGGGACGCGCACAAAACGGCAATCACAGCACAGCATGGCATGCATCCTCCTCGACTCCTCGTACGACGACGACGACCAATCACCCACCTGGAGCTGGAGGGTCCTGCGGCTGCGGCCATGTCGACGGGATGGGACTGGGACGTGTTGGAGACGCGACGCCGGCAGCGGCAGTGGTTGATTGGCGAGCGGTGGGCGCGCGAGTGCGGTGGTGAGATGATCGTGATCAGCCCACGTATTTATACCAGTGGATGGACTAGTGGTGTTTTAGTGATCGCTGTGGCGCTGTCTGCTAAATTGCGGTGGCACCCCACTCGTGAGGACCTTATTGTTGGAGTTGAAGAGTTAGATGACGTAATCGATTAGGTCATCTTTGCCTCTTTGTGATGCTTGATCAATCTGTATTGCCCCTGTTCAGGTGGGAACAAGATCCTCTAACTTCGACTTGGATGACTGCAGGGTACAGTCGAAGAAGGATCGTCGTTCTTGCATGTCGCCATCTATGACCTAACGAGGATCGTCGTTCTTGCATGTCGTCATCTATGACCTAACTGATGAAGTCACATGTCGAAGCTAACTGCAGGGAGCAAGGATTGCTCGAAACCCTTGCTGATTGTGAGGGACACTACTACGGCAAAGATCTGTAGAGGCGCCTCTAAGTTGATCACCGGAGTGTTAGATAATCTACTGCTATCTTATGTGAACACACAGTAGGGGGAAGGCGACGTCGAAAAGACTTCCTGCTGTGATACTATAGTCGCTGCAGGTGCATGCGCCGAACGGCTCACCTGCAGCACTGTAGCCACATGCAGAGGCCGGCGCAGAGACAGCCCTGCTATGTTATCTAGTCACTGTTGCAGCATGACAGCTGTATTAGGACTAGTTGGATAGAGTTGTATAAATAGACTGCCACGGCAACTCCGTAAAAAGAGTTCAGATTTGCCATCTTCCATACATGGCTTCGGCCAACGCTGGTGTCTTGTAATGTGTGTGTATGCTATGTTCTCCCTCTTCTTCAATCTCTAGCCATAGTGTGTGGGGATGGACAACGCTTGTTTGTAGTCGGCATAGCTAGTGGGTGCTCGGCAACACTAGCGGGTGCTCGGCAAGACTGGTGAGTGGTCAACTCACATGAGCCGGTGATCCAATGGGCTAACAAGTAGTATCGGAGCCGTACAAAGGCCGTCGCCAGACTAACCGCTGGCGATGACGGACGGTTTGAAGATGGGCGACAGCAGTGGCACTATTGTGGCTGCCCAGCCATGACCGGAGGTCGTTCGCACGGTGCGGGAGGTCAGCGGCACCAGTTGGCCGACGCTGACTCGCACCAACTATAGAGTGGTCGGTGACCATGAAGGTCAAGCACAGAGCCCGATGGCTCTAGAATGCTGTTGACAAGGGCACCGATAATGAAGAAGATGACATGTCAGCGTTGGAGGCTATCCTCACTACTGTACCGACAGAGTACATGGAGCCATTGGGGGCGAAGAGCTCTACTAAGGAGGCGTGGGAGGCTATTGTGGCGATGCGCGTCGATTCCGACCGCGCAAAGAAGACGACGGCCCAGCTTCTGAAGCAGGAGTACGCCAACCTCAAATTCAAGGATGGTGAAACAATTGAGGACTTCTCCCTCCGCCTGCAGACGCTCATCAGTAAGCTGAAGAGCCACGGCGTCACCATCGACGAAGAGGAGGCGGTTTCCATGTACCTCCACTCCGTGCCGACAAAGTACATCCAGATCGCTCTCTCCATAGAGACGATGCTGGACTTGTCAACCCTCACCATTGAGGATGTGACAGGCCGTCTGCGGGCGGTGGACGAGCGCCTGGAGCAGGCGACAACAACGAAGGACAGCGGTAAATTGCTGCTGACAGAAGAGGAGTGGGCTGCTCGGAGGAACTCTGGGAAGGCAGCCTCCTCCAGCCGTGGTGGAGATGGCAAGCGCCGCGGCAAGTCTTCTTCAGAAAAGAAGAAGCAGGTCGACTCCAACGCCTGTCGACATTGTGGGAAGATGGGCCATTGGGCACGGGAGTGCCCAAATCGCAAGCAGGAGAAGAAGACTGAGGCTCATCTGGCGTAAGCTGATGATGTAGATGAGGCCACTATCCTGATGGTGATGTTCTGTGCACTGCACGACGTCGAGGCCGAGGAGAGGGAAGAGGCGACGATAGTGGAAGGACCTAGGAAGGCCCTGAAGACTGTTAACCTCGATGAACCATGCGCCCAAGTCCACCTCGGACGTGTGGAAGCCGACCAGGAGCAGCGGTGGCATCTGAACTCTGGTGCCAGCAACCACATGATGGGCTCCAAGGCATCCTTCTCCGAGCTCGACGACGATGTTATCGGTATGGTGAAGTTTGGTGATGGCTCAAGGGTGACATCCAAGGGCGCGGCACCATCATCTTTAGGTGTCAGAACGGGGAGCACCATGCGCTAACGGATGTATATTACATCCCACAGCTGCGTTCCAGCATCATTAGCATTGGTTAGCTGGATGAGCGCGGTAGCGAGGTACTGATCAAGGATAGAGTCCTTAGGATCAGGGACCGGGAGCAGCTTCTTCTTGCCAAGGTGAAGAGGTCCCTGAACCGGTTGTACCTGCTCGACCTAAAGGTAGAGCAGCCGGTGTGCCTGGTGGCAAGACACATCAAGGAACCGTGGCTGTGGCATACACGGTTCGAACATCTCAGCTTCGACGCGCTTGGTCGACTGGAAAAGATGGTCCGAGGGCTACCCCACATCAAGCACGGAGGTAAGCTGTGCGACAGCTGCCTGGCCGGGAAGCAGAGGAGGCTACCATTCCCAAAGGCGGCCAAGTATCGCACGAAGGACGCTCTCGAGCTCGTCCACGGCGACCTCTGTGGGCCGATCACACCAGCTACAAATGGTGGTCAATGGTACTTCCTCCTACTTGTGGATGATTGCAGTCGCTACATGTGGCTGCAACTCCTGACGAGTAAGGACGAAGCGGTGGCGGTGATCAAGAAGTTCAAGATGCGCGCGGAGACCGAGAGCGGCAAGAGGCTCCACATGCTGAGGACTGATCGTGATGGCGAATTCACTTCGGTGGAGTTCGTTGCGTACTGCGCGGATCAGGGTGTGGTGCGACACCACATCGCGCCATACTCGCCACAACAGAATGGCGTGGTGGAGTGATGGAACCAGACGGTGGTCGGCATGGCCTGATCAAGGATGAAGGCCAAAGGCATGCCAGCAAGATTCTAGGGTGAGGCAGTGACCACGGCGGTGTTCATCCTCAACCGTGCTTCGACCAAGGCCCTGACGGGCAAGACGCCGTTCAAAGCTTGGTATGGGCGCAAGCCGAGCGTGTCCTTCCTCCGAACATTCGGCTGCATCGGCCACATCAGGAAGACGAAGCCGAACCTCACCAAGCTGGAGGACAGGAGCACACCGATGGTGTTCCTAGGCTACGCGGAGGTTACCAAGGCATACCGGCTCTACGACCCACGCTGAGACAAGGTGCTTGTCTCGCGCGACGTTGTGTTCGACAAGAAGGCGGCTTGGGACTAGAGTAGTCCCAGCACGGGGGAAGCTGGCGGCTTCACCAGCACCTTCGTCGTCGAGCACTTGGTCATCCACGGTGGTGGAGACACTGGGGAAGAGGTGCCGAGCACTCCGAAAGGGGTGCCGAGCACTCCAGCGGTAGAGCCGAGCACTCCTGGAGCAGTGCCGAGCACTTCGGGGGGGATGCCGAGCACGCCAGGAGTGGTGCCAGGAGGTTCTATAGTGGTGGCGACCACTATAGGACGGATGCCGAGCACTCCTATGGTGGAGCCAAGAGGTCTTGCAGTGGTGCCGACCACTCAAAAATTGAGGCTGGGCACTCCTACAGTGGGGCCGAGCACTGTAGGAGCTATGATGAGATATCGTAGTAGTGCCGAACCGCAAGCAAGCAACCGGTGCGAGAGCACTCCAGTCTTTGTCTTGAAGCACTCTGGTGGAACAGGGAACTCCATCAACGCTGATCGAGTTCGCCTCACCTCTAAGTGACATCACTGAGTTTGTGGATGCCTTCCACGAAGGTGAGGAGGTGCGGTTCCACAGGCTGGATGACATCGTCGGTGGCATAGGGCCCTTAGGCCTGGTGGGTAGGCTACTCAATGACCTAGAGCTGCTGCTCGTCAGTGCAGAGGAACCACCCACGTTCGCGCTGGCCGAGCACGATGAAAACTGGTGACGGGCGATGCTGGAGGAGATGAAGGCGATCGAGGAAAATGAGACATGGTAGCTCATCGATCCACCTCTAGGATACCGTCCGATCAGCCTGAAGTGGGTGTACAAGGTCAAGCGGGACGAGCTCGGCGCCATTGTCAAGCACAAAGCGTGTCTCGTGGACCGAGGCTTTGTACAGCGTGAGAGCATTGACTTCGAGGAAGTCTTTGCGCCAGTAGCGCGCATGGAGTCTGTCCGTTTGCTACTAGCCTTGGCAACAGCAAAGGCCTGGTGCATCCATCACTTAGACGTTAAATCGGCCTTCCTCAACGGTGAGCTGGCGGAGACGGTCTTCGTCAGGCAACCTCCAGGTTTCGCCGTCAAGGGAGAGGAGCACAGGGTGCTCCGATTGCGCAAGGCGCTCTACGGGCTACGAAAGGCCCTACGAGCATGAAACGCCAAGCTTGACGCCATGCTGGGCGAGCTTGGGTTCTAGTGGTGCGCAACCGAGCACGCACTCTACACGTGGCGACGGGGAAAGGAGGAGCTCATCGTCGGTGTGTATGTGGATGACTTAATCGTCACCGACGCGCGCACGGAGAACATCAATGGCTTCAAGCGCGAGATGGCCGCTCATTTTCGAATGAGCAATCTCAGCGCACTCTCCTACTACCTCGGCATCGAGGTGAGACAGGGGAAGGAGGAACTCACGCTCGGTCAGAGCACGTATGCCTCCAAGCTATTGGAGCGGAGCGGCATGACTGAGTGCAAGCCATGCGTGACTCCGATGGAGGAGCGGCTGAAGCTGACGAAGGCCAGCACCGCGGCAAAGATGGATGCAATACTGTACCGGAGCATCGTCGGCGGTCTGCGCTACCTAGTCCACACGAGGTCAGACATTGCGTTCGCCGTGGGCTACGTCAGTCGCTTCATGGAGGATCCCAGAGAGGATCACTGGGCTACGGTGAAGCGGCTACTGCGCTACGTCAAGGGGAGAGTGGATCAAGGGATCATTTTTCCTAAGACCGACGGGAGTAGGCTGCAGCTCACTGTATTCAGCGATGCAGACATGGCGGGGGACATCGACGGACGACAAAGCACCTCTGGCGTGCTCGTCTTCCTCGAGTCGGCCTCAATTTCATGTCTATCACTGAAACAGAAGGTGGTGGCGCTATTTACGTGCGAGGCAGAGTACGTAGCGGTGGCCACAGTGGCGTGCCAAGTTGTATGGCTGCGTTGGCTGCTGGATGAGCTGACCGGCGTAGAAGCTCACCCACCAGCACTGATGGTGGACAACCAGCCCGCCATCGCCCTCGTGAAGAATCCGGTTTTGCACGACCGGAGTAAACACATCGACGTGAAGTTCCACTTCCTCAGGACTATGTCGATGAAGGGCAAATCGTCATCGAGTTCGTCGAAACTGGTCGGCAACTCGTGGACGTCCTCACCAAGCCGCTCGGACGTCTTCGGTTCACGGAGCTGAAGGAGATGATCGGCATGGAGAGGGTACAAGGTTAATGATGAGGATTAGGGAAGAATTGTTAGATAATTCATCGCTACCTTGTGTGAACACACGGCGAGGGAAGGCGGCGCCGAAAAAGGCTCCCTCATTGTAATAGTGTAGCTGCGGTGCAGTGCGGCGCCCGAGCGGCACCAGAAATAATCTTGTAGCCACATGCAGAGGCCGGCGCAGCAGTCATTACCTTGTGTTATCTAGTCATGCTGACAAAGATGGTACGTAATATGACTAGATGGATATAGTTGTATAAATAGACTGCCATGGTAATTCAGTAAAGAGAGTTCAGATTTATCATCTTCCATACAGGGTTTCGGCCAACGCTAGTGTCTTGTACTGTGTGTATGCTCTGTTCTTACTCTTCTCAACCTCTAGCCATAGTGTGTGGGGACGGACAACGCTGTTTCGTGGTCGGCATAGCTAGTGGGTACTCGACAACACTAGCGGGTGCTCGGCAAGATTGGGGAGTGGTCAACTCACCTGAGCCGGTGATCCAATGGACTAACACGGAGTACATTACATTATTACTCAAAACAATATATATATATATATATATATATATATATATATATATATATATATATATATATATATATATATATATATATAGAATGCAGTTGATCCACGTACAGAGCGCATCATACGGGATGAAGGGAGGAAATAAGCAGTACATGTAGCCGGGACATGCGCTCTCTCTGACTTCTGAATTCTGAGCAATCCTTGCGCTGTCGCCTGTTGGACTACTTGGACAAGTACAGTCAAATGTAGCATATGCTTTTGCAAATTGCAACGTGTGCTGTCGACAATTGTTCTTTGATCTGGACACGATCGAGCACGTCGTCTTGCCCGCATCTTAAACAGAGTTCAGTTTGCTAAATGACATGGCAGCCCCATCTACCGGTTTCGAGTGGGGAAGGTATGTGACCTCAGCGTTAGGATTAAGCAGCTCGCATCTGAAAGAGTTGAAAGCCAACAACAGGATTAATCGAAGATTAGTCAAATTTGAAAATTTCAGTATAACTTAGCTTAACAAGCTCTGTTATTTACACTAGTACTGTAGGGAGTGCTATCTACGGTAGCTAGGACAGATATGAGAAAAGGAAAACAATTTGTACTATGTTATTTAGATGATCAATTACTTATATCCAACAGCTAGATGATGGAGCATGATAGTGAGCTGCAGCCTTGCCACCGAACATGTTCCCAGCGCAGATCCTGGGCCCCCCACCGAACACCTGGTACGCTTTGGCGGTTTCTGGTAAAGTGATCAGTAATAATGTCCGATGTTAAATCGTCAGTGCAAGTCCCAATCGACAGTACTATATATGAGGTGAACTAGCTTAGCTTTGTATATACAGTTATACACTCTGAGCCCCTGATCTCTAATAACAAGGGAATTAAATTAACGAAAAATCAACAGATTACTGCTGAATGAACTTAGTAGAGACTTACGTTCCATCTGCCTGAGTTGAAGCTGAGTGGATCATCATACAGCCCGATCGGCTGGGGCTGGCTGGCTGGCGGTCAACAATGGTGGACGCCACTTCCTAGATATGAATCTTATTTACGTGAACCAACCAGTGATCTTCTTCTTTCACATATACGAACTAGTCAACCGAACAGGCTGATAGTAGTTGGTGTCGGTATGCAAGGAGCGCAGCCACACCACGACCCTCCACCCTTTAGGAATCGTATAACCTAGTACATGTAATCAATTTAAGCATTATATTGGCTTGTCCATTAATTCTTCATTCTAGAGTAGTGGGAGAAGTACTAGTACTGAATCATATAAAAGTGATTGCTTAATATAATTGCCTCTGTACTGGACATCTCTATGTGCCACGCGATGGACCATTGGAGCTACGTTGGCTACTCGAATTGTTTCTTCTACCACCTGCGAAAGACCAAGGGCTCAGAATAAATTGCATGCATATCCATATCCTTGAGCTATTTTTTTGTATTGTGTGACTTGTGATGGATATGCATCGTCGTATATTATGTACCTTGGCAGTATACTTCATGCTAGGGATGTCATCCAGGGAAATGAAGCCACCATTCTTGTCTCTACTTACAGCGTCGTTCTCCTCCTGACATGTGCAAGTTGCCAAGTTCAGATAATAAACATCATATAAATTACGCAGCACTTACATGGGCCATTCCGACCGCTTGGATTACAATTCTTGAATAATATATAATCCAGACTAGTTTATTCAAGAATTGGGCTCTTCGTGAGTTTACAATGCTTAATTACCTCTCTGATCTGACTCTTTTTTGCACGACGACGCATAAGCAGTGCCGCAAAAAACTAGCTAATTCAAGAAGAGAATTGTGTACAAGAAGAGAAGAGAATTGTGTACAAGTAGCTACCTAGCTTACCCTCAGCTTGTGAAGAGCAAGGGGAGACATAATGGCGTTGGAAGTGGACTCGTAGCCCGCGACGACTTGGGAGACGATGTTGTCCACCACCTCGTCGTTGCAGACCTTCTTCCCTTTCTCGTCTTCCATCTCCGTTAGCCCTCTTATCAAGTCCTTGTTGGCATCCACCCGTCGCGTCCTCTCTCCTCCTCCTCTGGACCTCCTCCCTGAACACCGTGTCTAGTTTCTTGCGGCACTGCTTATATATATGAGTCATCGTTCAAAATTAAAGTCAGAGCAGAGTAATTAATTAATTAAGCACGGCAGAAGTATAAGAGCGACATGAACTGAAAGCATATCTTCTCATGCACGTACAGCGCGAGCGTGACGGTAGGCCATTCCGGGGAAGTCTAACGGGAACGCCCTGAATCCAGCAACCAGGCCGGCGAACCACCCGTCCATCTTGTCGGTGAGAGGCGACGGATCCATGCTCACGAACATCTTGCATATGTTCTCTAACGCCACCGCAAGCGCACGCGTTAGTTATTCGATTTATGGCTTCAAATGAACGCATTAGCGTGCATCATTTGTCGCGCCGGAATATATAGCTAATTAAGGAGCATACATGCGTACTTTCTTGATCTCGATGGCGGCGGAGATGGTGCCCTTGTCCGCCCGACCGCAGCGCAGCGCCCACGTTGATGGACGACCTCGCGATGGTGGGAGAAGCGGAGGGGCGGTTGATGATGGCGAGGATGAACCCGCGGAGCCTAAGCGTGCTGGTTGCCTTCCACGTTGACCACGCGGGAGAGAGGCCGACGAGCTTCCGCGACGCGACGCCGCCAGATGTCTCGAAGGTGCCGTCCTGGGAGGACTTGAGGACGAACTTGTTGGCGGCTGGGCGCGAGCAGACGAGGACGATCGGCGAGCCGAAGAGGGTGCGTCCCCAGTACGCCCACGTCGCCCGCCGTGCCCCCAGCGCCGGCTTAGTAGCGCCTCCTCCGGCGTGGACGGAAGCCGTCGGGAAGCGGTATGTGAGCTTGTAGTACCAGAGCAGCTGCCGAGGCTCGCCACAAACGGGAGGCCCATGTGGCTGGCGGGAACCTCGCACGCAGCGGCGCCCGGCGCTTCACCTCGAAGAAGGCGCGCGGTGGGTGGCGTCAAAGGTTCGACACTGACGATGGCAGCGCGGAACGTGACGGCGGCGAGAGGAGGCCGATCCACCACGCCTGATCACGGCCGGCGTCACTTGTGCGTGCATCGACATCGAGTGGACAACAACGGCTACTAGGTATATGCTCGTTCATGTTACAACAAGGGATCTGGACTGACCGCTATGCTACCTGTGCCACTAGCTACGCGTTTGGCGTTTCATATATAGGAGCAGCAGCAGAGGAGCTATGTATGTATAATATACTCCTATTTATTTTTCCCCAACGAATGAGCTATATTCGTATCAATTAGAGCAAGTATGATAAACGTGTATAGCTTGCTTATACATACATGTCTATTCATGCAAGAACCCAACATCTACAAGTTCTTTAATATCGAATAGAAAAGTACAAATGAAAATAGAAAAAAGGATGACCAGGGTTATAGACACCGTACCATATATTATTATTAGACGTACTCTTGTCCTTCTAGAGCTGTAGTTTCTTAGCTTATTGCATTCTTTACTATAGTTGCTTTAATTGGTTGGATTTGGATGCTTCCGATCGGTAGATGCTTCTACCTTATGTCCGAACGTGGACAAACTAAAAATGGCTATACTTGTCTAGTTGATCCTTACTCCTATGGGGTATATTATCTATGGCTATATAGCCTATATAAGTACATTGTTACTTTTGGGTGCGTGTTTCTGCCGACGGATACGTACACCTTGTGCACGTTCAGTCCTTGTTCGGTTCTACTCGAGGGATTGAGGGGAATTTTGACTTGCAGCCTCGTGGGCCTGCACGGGAGACCAGAGAGGGGGTGGGGGCCTAGGTGGATATTGTGGATGTTAAATGAACTTTTCTAACAACGTCAAAGAGGCCACAAACCACGGCCTTGGCCCATCCTATCCTATCCCAACCCAACAGCCCCGTTCCCGTGAAGAAGCGAGCCGCGACCGACCGAAGGCAAGTCCACAAAGGAAAAGGGAAAAGGTGAAAGGAAAGAGCAGCAGCGACGCGCACACAAAAAGGAAAAAAGAAATCCCTCTCGTCACCGCGATCTCCCCGCCGAGCTCTCTCCCTCTCCGTCGGTGATGGCAACTCAGAGCTCCAATACCGCGGACGCCGCCGCGCCTGCGCCGGAGGCTGCAGCCACCGGAGAGGTGGCTCCGAACGCTGCTTCCTCAACGCCGGCCCAAAACCCTACCGCTGCTGCAACCGCGGTGGCCGGGGCCACAGATCTGGAGAAGAAGATGCGCCGCGCGGAGCGGTTTGGGACGCCAGTGGTCATGTCAGAGGACGAAAAGCGCAGCAGTCGCGCCGAGAGGTAAGTGTTCTGTGGATCCCCTTCCCTAGGGTTTAGAGGATTTGTCCTCACAAATCCCGTAGTTCGTATTGGAAAGTGTTTATTCAAGCACAATATGTCACTAATCTCCTAACAAAATAGATGTGCGGTATTGCAGTATGCATGTTTTGGTCACTGTGTGTGTATTGAATTGCAACACTGTAGGTTTTTTGGGTACTAAAGTACTTAGGTGCGTTTGGTTCGAGGACGAAGTTGGATGGGATATGGCGATCTATGGATATTGGGATAAGGATGTACATGATGCATGTTTGGTTGGATGGATAGGACAAGCCATTTTTTTGGTTGGATGAATGGAAGTGGATGGGATTAGAATAGTTGCCTAATTATATCTATTATTTAAAAATAATAACAACTAATTAGACACTAATAAATATGCACTAATACTAATTTTGCCATGAAAATCACTAATTTAAAATAAATATGTTAATTAGCACAACTAATAACCTAATTAGCACACGAAACATGCACTAATCAATGTATAAACACTTATCAAAACTAATCCTACCATCATAATTACTAAGCAATAATATAACTTACTAATCATCCTTAATTTATTTACTAATGACAAAGATTAGAAGACATGGATAAGCTGGTTCGTGAGATTTTTACAAACCAGGAAATCCAGCATCTGGGGGGGGGTATATTCCCTATCCATGGTTTTACTGCTCCCAGTGATTCATCCAACCAAACGCCAGTGATCCATGGATGGTCCAATCCCATCCATACAAATCCAACCAACAAAACACATATAAGGTCTAGCTCCAACACTTTAGGCTTTTAGTACATAGACAAGGTCTAGCTCCATACATATCAGTTCTCTACCTGTGTTCTTCTGAGGTTGCAGTTATTCACGATGTTGCAAGGCACATGGGTGATGTCGCAGCAATTCTGTGCTTTGCATTATTCGATGAGGTGTCCAATTGTTGCTGTTGTTCATAGAGATTTCAATGCATTTCAGGACCTAAGCAGCTAGTTCCTTGCATGAATGATGTTTTATTGTTTTAATTGTTTCATGCAGTTTATAACTAAGTTACTTGATTGCCTTTGAGCCTTTCTAGTTTTGTAGGTCATGTGTCCCCTTGATACTGCCTGTGTATTGAATTTTCACCATAGATTTGCATCCATCGTTTCTGTGCATGTTGTGTAGGATAGGCAGTCAGGAGTTCAAAAGATTTAGGTACTTAGTTTAATTCATCGGTGCCCAGTCTTTAGGTATATTGCCTATCTAATTAAGCCATAAGTGTTTAGATTTGAGCCATCAAGCCTATAGCCTGCTTCTAGATTTTAACTTTTGGTTTGATGTTCTAACCTCAGTGATAGTCAGATCTGAGTGGGCTAGATTAGTGCCCGTCTGGCATGGTTCCCATTGGCTCAGGCTCCTGCTACAGCTCCATTGGCTACTAGCTCATTTTAGCAAGAGAGAAAACTGGCTTCAGTTCCATTGGCTCAGGCTCCTGCTACAGTTCCATTGGCTACTAGCTCATTTTAGCAAGAGAGAAAACTGGCTTCACCTGAGAATGGCAAGCCAGAGCCGATGGGAACCGTGCCAAAAGGGCCCTTAGTTTTGTTACTTAAGGGCCTGTTTGGATGATATCATATATTACACTTGTTGTGCACAGGAATACCATCGGAATGGAAACAATTTTTATACCCCTGGAAATGGCTGTTTGGGTAATAGTGAACCATACATATATGCGGCTACTGAAATTACCATTTGAATTTCAGTAGAACGATAGACAGAGCCCATCCTAGTTTCAACAGACGGCCAAGAGAGATCGCAAGTAAAATCCTAGCAGCCAGTTGATGCTAAAAAATTGAATAGATAAAGGAACCATGGCTGGATAAGCTCGCCGTCTGGCCATGCAGGCTTGCTTGCTCGGCGAATTCTCCCTGCCACACGGCCACGATGCTTGTGGTTCTGGAGCATGGATGCAGCTGTCCTTCGCAGCGCTGCCATCCGCCGACAAAGTCCTCGGCAGATCGAATCGTGAGGTTGGAGTTTTGACAGTTCTCGACGCCGCACACCATGTCAAGGCAGCCTCTCCATAGTCTCTGCCACAGATTCGTTGCTATTCTTGTGGCCTTGAGTTGGATTCATGCATACTAGAGATGGAAATTGTCGATTTGTCGGTGCAGATCGAGGTTGTCATGCCGCATGAACGACACAGATTGAGGCCGGACGTGAGGGGTTGAGAGAGATTGGGCATCAGTAGAAACAGAGCGAAGCGATGATGGAGGAGAGTCCGACTTTCGTCGTTTTTTACCGTGGGCTCAAGAGGTGATTATATTTTTTTCAGGTGTAAATGCTTGTTACCGCTGTAAATTGATTTTGATTACAGTCTATCCAAACAGATTTTTTGGATCAGGCCTGGAAAAGTTTTGGGCTGGTATTTTACACCTTTTTTTTTTATCTACTAAAACCGGCCTTCCAAACAGGCTCTAAGTGGTAAGATTCGGTAATAAAATGATGATGTGGTGTTATTGAACTCTTAATTGCATATGACGTGTAACTTCATTATACAATATTAAATATGTGTTGTATACTTTTGGGGTGCTTACACTGAAACTAAAGGTAGTCTCATACAGAGATATAGTCTATTCATTTGTTTAGTGTTCCATGTAAGTTCTAG